GTCATTGTTGTTTGGTGGGCCCAGGCTGGATTAGAACCCGCCAGCTCAGGTGTATGTGGCTGGCACCCTAGCCGCTTGAGCCACAGGTGCCAGCCTGGTCTTGAACTCTTGAGCTCCCACCTCAGCTTCCCAGCAGAATACTAGCACCTGGCCTTGTGGCCTACTCTTTTTTTTTAGAGACAGAGTCTTACTTTGTTGCCCTAGGTAGAGTGCTGTGGTGTCACAGCTTACAGCAACCTCCAGCTCTTGGGCTTAGGTGATTCTCTTGCCTCAGCCTCCCGAGTAGCTGGGACTATAGGTGCCCACCACAACACCTGGCTTTTTTTGTTGTTGTTGTTGTTGCAGTTTGGCAGGGGCTGGGTTTGAACCCACCACCCTTGGTATATGGGGCCAGCGCCCTACTCACTGAGCCACAGGTGCTGCCCCTTGTGGCCTACTTGTTTCTTTGTTGTTGGGTTGTAGGAGTTCTTTATATATTTTGGATGTTAAACTATTACCAAATATATGTGTTGTAAATATTTTCTCCCATTCTCTGTGTGTTGTCTTTTTACTCTCTTTCTGGTGTCTTTTGATGCACAAGATTTTTAATTTTGATGAAGTTCGCTTTACCTGTGCTTTCTCCTTTTGTTGCCAAGCTTCTGGTGTTATGACACTACTGCCAAACACAATGTCTCGACAATTTCTTCCTATGTTTTCTTATACAAGTTTTATTATTTTAGCTTTTAAGTTTACGCCTTAATTCATTTTGAATTAATTTTTGTATATGATGTGAAATAGGGATCAGCTTTACTTTTTTCCTGGTGGATATACAGTTTTCCACTGTATCATCATTTTTTTTTAGGCAAGCATGGAACAGCGTTTAGTGAGGAAGAGAAAGATATATTTTCAGAGTAAGAAATTGACAAAGCAGGATACATTCACCACAGACAGTGAATGGGCCTCCACTGCCAGGGCAAGTGGGCAGAGAGGCACCCAGCACCATTTTTCAAAAAGATTGTCCTTTGTCCATTGAAGCGTCTTGTCACTCCTGCTGAAAGTCAATTCTGAGGGTTTTTTGAGGGGTTCTGATTGTATTCTTCTGGTTTATCTGTCTGTTCTTATGTCAGTACCATGTTGTTTTAATTATCATAGCTTGGTGGGAAGTTCTGAAATTGGGAGTTGTGAGTCCTCCAACTTGTTCTTCTTTCTCAAGTTTTGGATATTTGGGGACCCTTCAGTTTCCCTGTGACTTTTAGGATGTGTTTTCTATTTCTGAAAAACAAAACAAAACAAAAAAAACCCTTGGGGTTTTGATGGTGATGGCACCGAATCTGTAGGTTGCTTTGGTATCACTGTCACCCTAACAATATCAAGTCTTCTAACCCGTGAACACAGGCTGTCTTTCTTTTTGTGTGGATCTTCTTTAATGTCTTTCAGCAAGGTTTTGTAGTTTCAAGGGTATATGTCTTTTACCTCTTTGTTAGATTTATTTGTGGCTCAGCACCTGTGGCTCAAGCGACTAAGGTGCCAGCCACATACACCTAAGGTGGTGGGTTCAAATCCAGCCCAGGCCTGCCAAACAACAATGACGGCTGCAACCAAAAAATAGCCGGGTGTTGTGGCGGGCACCTGTAGTCCCAGCTACTTGGGAGGCTGAGGCAGGAGACTTGCTTGAGCCCAGGAGTTGGAGGTTGCTGTGAGCTGTGATGCCATGGCACTTTACCCAGGGGGACAGGTTGAGGCTCTGTCTCAAAAAAAAAAGATTTATTTCTAAATATTTTATTCTTTTTCATGCTATTGCAAATGAAACTTTTTCTTAATTTTCTTTTTGGATCATTTCTTGGTCATATATAGAAATATGCTATAACTGATTTTTAGTGTGTTTTGTATCCTGTAGCTTTTCTGGATTTCTTTATGAGTTCCAACTCTGTGTGTGTGTGTGTGAGAGAGAGAGAGATCTATAGAGTTTTCTCATAGGAGATTATGTCTTTCATCTGCTAATAAGATCATTTTACTTCTTCCTTTCCTATTTGGATGCCTTTAATTTATTTTTCCTGCCTGTGATCTGAACTTCCAATGCCATGTTGAACATAACTGGCCAAAGTGGGCATCCTTGTATCTGATCCTAGGAGAAAAGCTTTCTTCGTCGAGTGTGATGCTTGCTATGTTTTTTCTTTGTCATGTTAGGGAGGTTACTTTCTAGTCCTACCATTATGGAATATTTTTTATCATGGAAAAGTATTGCATGTTGTCAAATGCTTTTTATGTGCTTTGAAAGAGCTCTTCTGTGTTAATAATGTTCAACTCTAACTCCTAGGGAATCTTTAACAGATTTAATTGATCTGAGGGAGAGCATACACACTAGTACTTAAAATGTCAATGAAAAAAGAAGGCATCCTCTGTAAAGTGATTTAAAGAGGTTTAGGGCAGCGCCTGTGGCTCAAAGGAGTAGGGTCCCAGCCCCAAATGCTGGAGGTGGTGGGTTCAAACCTGGCTCTGGCCCAAAAACAAAACAAAACAAAAAAACTGCAAAAGAATAAAAAAAGGTTTATTTTGAGTTAAATTTGAGGACCATGACCCAGAAGCACACACAAGGAGCCTTGAGCAAGTGGACTCGCTGTGGTGGGGTTACAGTTTAGT